TTCCTTTACTGTAGCTAGTTTTAGATATAATTCGGCGCCTTTGCTTCAAAGTGAAATGCTATAAGATACCGTGTTTAAGTAGTGCATTTGTCATTGCCACACAGGACTATATAACTACATTGGAGAAGCTTCCAAAATCCAGTCTGCTGGAATTGTTTCATAGAAGATATTTGCGCTCTTTAACTGTAAGTATAACTCTCATCATTCTAACTTTTGAATGAAACATGATTTCTTTTTCGTTTTGGATAATGCCTCTAAATATTACTTCTCTTTCTTTAAAGATGTGTTTGGTTTGGTAGACTAGGTATTGGGATGAAAAACAAAATAAGCTTAAAATGATTTTCAAAGAATTAACATGACAAACAGTGAATTTTCAACCTTTTTATGCTTTTGTTGTGTCAAACATGTTTGAAATGATTTTCGTTCAAAATTTTCATCTTCTCACTTTTCATGAATATATGCAACAAAGTACACAGTAAGAATACACGTATATCTTGTTTTATATATCAATGGGCAGATTGGAATAGGCCTTATGATCTGCCAGCAGCTTGGGGGCATCAATGGTGTTTGCTTTTATGTCAGCAGTATTTTTGACCAAGCAGGTGCGTGCTAATGAGAATTGCTGTAATCATAATGTTTTTGGTTCAAAGTCTATGCCCACCATCGTACATTCTTGTGCATCATCATTTCCATTAACCTATAACTCACTTCCACATAGCCCATGAAGCAATCAATTTTAAGATTTTGGCAATGAATATTTGTGGATTTTATGTCAGGATTTTCTCCCGCCATTGGGACAATATCTTATGCATGCCTTCAGGTTCGTAATTTGAACTTAATCACTAGCTCATGTAAAATCAGATATTGTTTACCGAAAATCAACTCAAAATTTTCCTCTTGCAGGTTGTGGTCACAGGTCTTGGAGCAGCCTTCATAGATAAAGCTGGAAGGAAGCCCCTTCTTCTAGTAAATCCAACGACCAAACAGTTTATCTTCAAACTTTCGTTTTCTTTTAAAGGTCTTCTTGTGCATAACATTCTTCTTGTTATTTCATGGTTACATTTTAGTTATCCGCATCAGGATTGGTGACAGGATGCATATTTGCAGCAGTTGCATTCTATCTCAAGGTACATCTCAACATGAACCCCATAGCTTCTGGTTTTTAGTCCTGATAATAGTATTTGAAGGTGATATCCTTGTGTGAATTAGGTTCACGAGGTGGGTCTTGCGGCAGTTCCAGCACTTGCAGTCACAGGCGTACTGGTATGATCAGCACCATTTCACTTGCAGTCACAGAATAATGCTGCTATATTCCATGTTTCTGAGATATGAACTCATACTCCATTTGGTGATATTAGGTCTACATAGGATCATTTTCAATAGGAATGGGAGCAATTCCATGGGTTTTGATGTCCGAGGTCTTCTTTCAAAGCCAGCTTACATATTCTCTACTTATAAAAATTCATTTTTGTTATTGGAATCAGCAAGACTTAATTTTTACTCAAATATTACCTTCGTTACAGATATTTCCTGTGAATATTAAAGGGGTGGCAGGAAGTGTTGCCACATTAACGAACTGGTTTGGTTCATGGTTATGCTCCTACACTTTCAACTTCCTCATCAGCTGGAGCTCCTATGGTAAATGTTCAGATTTATTTCAATTAAGGGTGCAGTGTAATCGTAGAATATTGAAGTTCATGAAACTTATAGAACGAATGTGTGTACGATTTGCAGGTACCTTCATTCTTTATGCAGGAATTAATGCATTGGCTATATTATTTATAATTGTTGTGGTGCCGGAAACGAAGGGCAAGAGCTTGGAACAATTACAAGCAGCCATTAATTCATAGGAAGCAGAAGTTTTGTGATTTGCATAGCTGTGTGAGTTGGAAGTGAAAAGTTTAACGATTGAATCATCAATAGGCATATTATTTGTCGAAATAGCTTGATTCTGTAATGACGATTGAATTTGTTCTCACATTGGTTCTTAATGCCAATGATTCAGAAAATAAATTCCAGACATTAATTAAAGTTTTCCAGTTGCATTTTAGCTCCGACAAGAACAGCAAAATCTAGCATTAAAAATAAAAGGTCAAATTTATTAAAAGGACCGTGGCTCATTAGTAATTAATTTACAAGATAAACCAAAAACAACAAATGTATACTTTTTTTTTCACCAATTTGATAGAAGTGAAGAAAATATTTACTCTATTTCTTTCTCGTTTAAATTACTTGTTTAGATTTTTAAATTTTTTTTTATATAAAGAGCAAAACATATTTAATATTTAGATTTAGAAAGTTGAAAAATAAATCACAAAAGATCCCCCATATAATTTATTTTTATATAAAATATTTTCAAAATCCAATATCCAAAAGTAGTATCTGATTTTTCTTACATATCTCTTAAATGGAAGGTGAAGCAAATTTCTTACAAGACTATTTCACTCTTAGATGTGAAACTTTTGATCTATGGAACATAATAATGCAAAATTATCTAAAAGTTAGATTTATGATAAGCTATGAAGATGATTACACAATTGAAATGCTGTTTGAAAATCTCACCATTGACCCAAATGAAAATTTCAACTTCATTGCAACATAATTCAATGTTGGAATAATGGAATGTACTATTGACCAAAATAATAATAAGATTGATAAAAGAAATAGAAAGAAAATTACTAAACTAAATAACAATGTGATAAAAAAAGAAAGATGAGAGTTACCTATAATTAAGAAAAATATTAAAAGAATAATCAAATTTAAAACTCGAATATCCATATATTTAAAAAAGAAGAAGCTGAATATCTTCTTGGTCTAATATGTTCTTCATTCTTCTGCACACTCTTGATTTAGTCAACTGTTATATTATTATGTCAGATGTAAATATTAATAGGTTCTAGAATACATTAGTTGTATTTTCTATGTAAATATTAGTAAGTTCTAGAAGTATTTGTTTGTTTTGTCTTTTATGTTTTCCTGACTGGTTCTTATCCAAAAAGAATTTCACTTTGTATATATATTTGCTCTCATCGAGATATTCAAAGCAGCAGAGAATATTAATTTATGTATCATTATTTAAATAATAAAATAGTTTTTAAAAATTTATTAAAATGGATGTGGGCAATTTCTTTTTAAATTTTTAGTTTTTAATTTATTATATTTTAAATTAATATATACATATTATTTAATTAATTTAAAATTATTATTTAATTATTTATGAATTAATTTTATTTTATTTAATTAAATAATTATTATTAATTTAATTCATATATTTTTATTTAAATAATAATTAAAATAGTTTTAAAAATTTTATTAAAATGGACGTGGTAATCCGTTAATGAATTTCGTCACATCGGGTTGAAGATTAATTTTTTTTTAAATAAAAATAATAAATTAAAATATAAAATATGTAAAATTTGTTGAAGGTGAAACGTGATATCCAATTATAGAGAAAAGCAAAATTGATATGGGGTGGTCAGCGAGTCAGGGAGCATTTGATGGAGGGAGCAAGTGCCTTTGTTATATTATTATGTTGAATGCTTCTCCCTACACCTCAGTCATCTAATCTGCACCTCCTATTCTTTCGTATTTTCAAGTGTGCCCTTATCAAGGAATTTTTTCACTGTTTTTTTTTATTTTCACCCATTCAACTATTGAAAAAAAGCACCTACCCCTTCCTCCTCTGCCTCTCTTTGCGCATTTCATATTCCCCTACACTCCCTTTCTTTCTCCTTTCTTCTCACGGAGTGTTTCTCCCCTCCTTTCCTCATTTTACATGTTGTAGTCTCGCGCTTTATTCTCACAGACCTGTTCTCGTTGGTGGTTGTATCGTGGTGGTGGGTGAGCTCTTGTAGTGGTGGTTGTGCGGTTGAGAAGCTGTCGGAGTTGGAAATGCGGTTGCACTTGGGAGAGCGGTTGACGCTCGTCGCATTTGGAGCTGCGGTTGATGTTCACCGCAGTTGGAATTAAGGTTTAGAATTTTTTTCTTGATCCTGGACGTGAAAGTTGCAGACCCAAAACTATGTGGAGCATTTGATGATGAACAAATGAAAAGGTTAATGGGTATAGGTCTTTGGTGTGCTCATCCAAATTACAAATTCAGGCCTTCTGTCATGCAAGTCATTCAAATGCTTAAATTTGAAGTTAAATTACCAACTCTGCCAAAATGGCTACCTGGTCATAATTTCTGTCCTTTAATGGTAAATTTTTCATCGTCTTGAAACACTGTACCTACCAGCAAAGGGGGTGTAATGGAATATGAAATGTGGCAAAGAGAAGCAGAGGAGGAAGGGGTTGGTGCTTTTTTTTTATCGTTGAATGGGTTAAATAAAAAAAGTAGTAAAAAGATTCCCTAACAAGGATGCAGTTGAAAATATGAAAAAAATAGAGAGGTGCAATATGAGATTAGTGAGGTGCAGGAAAAACACTCTATTATGTTTGCTGTAAATATTAGTAGGTTCTAGAATACATATTAGTTGTATTTGCTTGTTTTTGTCTTTTAGGTTATCCTGATGGGTGCTTATCCAAAAAGATTTTTGTATATATATTTGCCCCGTAGAAAATATTCAATCAACAAAGAATATTCCATTGTAGCCTTTTGTGCCATGCACTTTTACTCTTTTAATATTAACTAAAAAGAAATCTTGAGAATATTTTTCTAAAGTCATAGCCTCCTTCCCAGTCACCAAACCTTAGACTAGTTGAAGACGGCTACGCAATCATTGCGCACGACATTGACATCTTAAAGTAAGTGAAGCTCCCACGTCCATCCAAAAACATGAAATCTAGATCGACTAGTGTGGTATACTACTTTCTCTTCCTGCTGTATTTCAACTTTGGGACATATATTTTAAGATACCTTTTGTTTCTAGTCCAAAAAAAATTATGATTTAGTCTCATTCATGAAAATAAAATCATTCTTGTCCATTGCAAAAGAAATAAAAAGGAAATCTTTTGGTCATTTATTTATAATAATAAAATGAAGGTCACTTCACATGACACAAGTCTAAAAACAACATGCTTACTTCAATATGGGTCTGCTCTTTCTGCTATACATACTCCATCAACATATATACTAGGAATCAGTAATTAATTACGCGTAGAAGTGAGCATGGAGATCAAAGTTGTGGAGGAAGGCGTGCAGAAAGGAATCAGAGAGCCACTGGACCATCAGTTGGTCCATGCAAGCAAAGGGCATCCATGGATGCTTTATTTTTGTACATTCGTTGCAGTGTGTGGTTCTTACGAATTTGGTGCTTGTGTAAGTGTTTAGTTTGTAGTTGAACTCTATGTAAGACAAATAACACTTGTTCTTCCCTGTAAAGAGGATGTTGTAAAGTTGAAATCCAAAACGGAAGCACTTTCGCGGCCTTCATTGCAAGACAGATGAAAAAAATCTGAGAACAGAAAAATTATAGTTTGATTGACTGCTATGTTTCCATGTGGAATGATTATGTCTCTGTTTTCAGGCTGGATATTCATCTCCCACTCAAGATGCTATCAGGAAGGATTTCAACCTGTCTTTGGCAGAGGTAAGCCTGCTTTATTCACCATTTTTTAGGATTAGTGGAATCATGGGAAGAAAACTTGAAAATGTTCAACAGCGACTACTCTTTCAGCAATCTTAAAGATGGCCAGGACTGATAGGATTAAGAATATTAAGATAGAAATATGTACAACTTTCTAAGAGCATCGACTCATATAACTAGAGCCAAAATGAATGTTAGTGATCTAAAATCTTTGATTGGCTTCGAATATTATGTACTCAAATATATTCCCTTTCTTTATGGATGTTGATGCATGTGCCAGCAGACTTTCCCAGGATTTGATATAATTTCCTGTCTTCTTTTGTACTGATTGTATGTAGTACTCCTTGTTTGGCTCAATCTTGACTTTTGGTGCGATGGTTGGCGCAATAACAAGTGGGCCTATTGCTGATTTCCTCGGACGAAAAGGAGTAAGTTCTGGGAAATTACGATGCTTGTTTGGGATTAACCAGTCCAGGTGTGAAAAAGTTGATTTTGGAACATCTGCAGGCAATGAGAGTGTCAAGTGCTTTCTGTGTTGGGGGCTGGCTTGCTATTTACTTTTCTGAGGTTCTTACCACTAAACTTGTGCATGTTTTTCCATAACTATTGTCCATGAATTATAACCCACCAGAACTTTTTCTTTTGCTTTACAGGGTCCCGTGCCTCTGGACATTGGGAGGCTAGCAACAGGATATGGAATGGGAGTTTTTTCATATGTGGTTGGTTATAGTTCTACTCTCCAAAAAACAACTTTATGCATAAGATTTCGTTTCAGACACTTGCATGCTCAAAATACTAATATTTTACCATATGTGGGATGGATTGTACAAGGTTCCTGTCTTTATAGCAGAAATAGCACCTAAAGAACTCCGAGGGACACTTACTACCTTAAATCAGGTAGATCTCAGCAGCAACTTTTATAAATCTGGAAACATTGGCTTTATGTGTGTCTGCAGTAAACTGATTGAATCTGTACTAATTTGTATTTCATTTCGCCTTGTAGTTCATGATCACTGCCGGTGTGTCAGTGGCATTCACCATTGGAAATGTACTTTCGTGGAGAGCTTTAGCTTTAATTGGTGAGTCTTACCTATTTAAATATAGTTCTATGATGTTGGTATGGGCAGAAAAGAAAAAATTATAAAATTAGAAATTAACTGATTACTTTGCTGGAAAACTAACTGTGAGTGTTTGCAATTGTAGGCCTAATTCCCACTTCTGTATTGCTACTGGGTCTGTTTTAATTTCAGAGTCTCCGATATGGCTAGAAAAATCCAATTTACAAATTCATGCTTTTGTAAGAGGAAAACGCGTGGTGGTTTAAACAACATGGAGAGTTCTAACCAAACAATTGTTGCAGGCGAAGAGAGGACGTAAAAAAGATTTTGAGGCAGCACTGCAAATACTTCGTGACAAAGATGCTGATATATCAGAGGAGGCAGAGGAAGTTCAGGTTCATATACTTTTAGATATAACTCTACCTTTGCTTCAATGTTCAAGACAAAACATTCTTAACATACCGTGTTTAAGTGGTTGTATGTCATCGGCACACAGGACTACATAACTACTTTGGAGCAGCTCCCAAAATCTAGGCTACTGGAATTGTTCCACAGAAGATATTTGCGCTCAGTCACTGTAACTATACCTTTTAACATTCTAACTTTTGATTGAAAGTTTCTTTCTTTTTCCTTTTTGAACAATGTGACTAAAACTTAGCTTCCCTTTCCGCAAGGTTTGGTCTAGGGGTGAAAATAAATGAAGTAAAAAATAATTTTTTATAACTATATTTTATACGTCAATGACCAGATAGGAATAGGCCTAATGGTCTGCCAGCAGTTTGGAGGAATCAATGCAATTTGCTTTTATGCCAGCAGTATTTTTGAACTAGCAAGTAAGTATATTGCTGTAATCATCACAGTAGCACACTTTGTTCAGTGTCAGCATTCCAGTTCATGACACCATCATCCATTCTTGCGTATCACAATTTCCATCTGATCCATAACTCATTGTCACAGTTCCCATTGAAAGTATATTAAAAAAATTGAGTAAATTTCAATCGGCATTCTAATTTTATTTTGTGGCATCGAATGTTTGTGGATTTTATGTCAGGATTTTCTCCCGCCATCGGAACTATATCATATGCTTGCCTTCAGGTTATTAATTTTAACCTGGTTGCTCTTTGAAAATCTAATCTTTGTTTATGCAAAAGGATTGAGATACTAACTTCGTAGTCCCAAACCAATTCATAGTTTTTCATCTTTTTTTCTTTTGTAGCTTGTTGTCACAGGTATTGGAGCTGTCTTAATCGATAAAACTGGGAGGAAGCCCCTACTTCTAGTAAATTCAAAGCACAAAACAGTTTATCATAAAACTTTTCTTTGCTTATAAAGATCCCTTTTGTGTATTATTGTTCGTTCCTGTTTCATTTTAGTTATCCGGAACGGGAGTGGTGGCAGGGTGTACAATTTTAGCAGTTGCATTCTATCTCAAGGTATATTCCAAATTGAGAACCCTATAGCTTCTGGTTTTTAATCCTGATAATGTGTGAAAGTAATATTCTTGTTGAACAGGTCTACGATTTGGGTGTTGCAGCTGTCCCAGCACTTGCCGTAATAGGCATACTGGTATGACCATTAGTATTCCTTTCTCAACGTCTCATAAATATGAACTCATTCTCCATTTCACATTAATCTTTCCTTTGGTGATATTAGGTCTACATAGGATCATTCGGAATAGGAATGGGAGCAATTCCATGGGTTGTGATGTCCGAGGTACTTGCCTCCCTCTCTCTTCTTTCAAGCCTACCACAAAAGACATGCAAATTAATTATAGATACACTGGAATTTCAATAATAACTGTGGTACTTAAGAACTAGAAATTGTTGATGCCCTGCTCTGATGTATTTTTCCTGATTTGGGGAGAAGCTAGTTGTGCCTGTTAATAGCCAAAATCTACTTATAAATTCTCCCCTTATAAAACATTATCTCTGTTACTATGATTTCACCTTTTGGTTACAGATATTTCCTGTCAATATTAAAGGGCAAGCTGGAAGTTTGGCCACATTAACGAACTGGTTTGGTGCATGGTTATGTTCCTATACTTTCAACTTTCTCATGAGCTGGAGTTCTTATGGTAATAAATACAAGTCATTAGTTTTAGTTTTATTTCACTTAAAGGTGTAATGATCACTATTATTGCTTGATAATTGGTTTATCACTTGGGAATAATTGGGAAGATTGAAGTTCAGGTAACCGGTATAACTAGTAAATTCACTTGTGTACGATTTGCAGGTACCTTCATTCTTTATGCAGCAATTAATGCATTGGCTATATTATTTATAATTTTTGCGGTGCCAGAAACCAATGGGAAAAGCTTGGAACAATTACAAGCAGCAATTAACTCATAAGAAGCTTGACTTTTTGTGATTTGCTGAACAGTGTACGGCAGAAAACGAAGAAGATCGATAATTTGATGATTGAATAATCACTAGTCATATAAATTGTCGTAGGTTTGCTTCTGTGTTGATGATTCATTCTCATGGTGTATAATTCTCATTGTTTGTCTTAATGTCATTCGTTCATGAAATGTATATCCAAAGGCAGTAATGTAAAATTTGCAGTTGCACTTTAGCTCCAAAAGGAGGAAAAATATACGATTTTATTATGGCATTCAAAACTCTCAAATCTATTACTATTAACCTCTCGAAAGTACGCATTAACTAATCTTTCAATTACACCTATCTGTACGTCATCAGATTGAAATCAACAAAGTAGTGTAGAAATTCATTCCATTCTCTAAGTAGTATTATTAACCATCAAACGACACTGTCACAATGGCTAAATTTTCCAAGAGTTTAACAACTTCATGATTCCTTATAATCTTGGGTGGTTTATATTGACTAGCTGATGTTCCATTCTGAATGGCTAAATCTGATAATTGATCAAAAGCTCCAGACCTTACTATGAACAACAGTAAGTTTCTTAGTTGACCTTTATCCCTCTGCACCTTGTATATAGCTCCCAAGCCACTCTCGAGAGTGGACATACAACTTCTAAAAACTTTAATTGATTCCTCTAGCTTGTCCTCCAGAAAATTAGATTCATCTTCAACTTCCACAAATACTTTCAACTGTTTCTGCAATGACCCCTGGTCCAAGAAACTTGCATACTCAACAATCTCAATATTCATAGCATCTCTAAGTGAAAGTTGAAAATTTTCAACAGCTGAAATCAAGTCTTTCTCAGTCACAATCTCAGCAGGATTCTTAGGTGCTCTCATCACATACTCAACTTCTGGAGATGAGTTATGGAAACCAACAACTCTCACTATATCGCCCAAACGGTAGCGATAAAATCCTCTGTAAGTAGTAACAACCACTTCATACATCTTCCCAACCTCCACACTGCAAAGGTCCACTGTTTCTTTGCTAACATTGTCCTCATTCATGTTAAATGGAAGAAACTCAAAGTAGGCAAAAGTTGGAAATATCACAAACCGTGTTGTCTCAGGGGGTTGCATCATGTCCAAATTTAAACCAACACAGCATTCTGAAGCAAAGTAATCTCCTCCTAAAATAGGTACCTCTCCTGCATAGTATTTGATCTTTTGGTAGTATTGCTTCATGCTTCCAGTGGTAACACACCTGATATAACGAGTGTTCGGCCACAATCTACACACAATTCCACCCCAGTTGTTACCTTCACAGATTAATCTTATTCTATTTGCCAATTCTGGCTGAGGTCCACCAAGTGTCTTAGTCACAGCTTCCCTCATTGGCCCCTCAGAAATTTCATTACACGGAAATCCATGATCAAGATCATCACACAGTTGCCCCCACTTGGACTCCAGAAGACCAAATGCTTTGATCAAGCCTATAGCATAAGGGGTTGTGATTCCATCTATAACATCAAGATTCCCAAGGCCACATAGAAGGTGGCAGTACATTTGATGCTCAACATGAGATCCAAGAATAACTTCTAGGGGACTGGAAAAAGCAGCAAGTTGCTGAGGGGTAGCATTACCGCTTTGCAAAGGGTATGTGGAAGCAGCCATGACTTTCAAGCCACATTTAGTAGTAGTTGTATTGTCAGCATAGAGAAACCATAGGATCTTGTTCACTTCAGGTCTAGGAGGGAATACCCTGCAAGGAATTTTGAAACTCAGTGTTGAACAAACTTAATATTCTTCAAAATTTGGCACAAATTAAAATTATTTGATTGATTCACCTTTGACGAACAGCAATACTGCCTCGGTGACCGATAAAGGAGGCGGCTTTAGAAAGGCTTGAATCGAAGTAAGGGATCAATTTCGGTCTCATGGTGCTCGAACTTGTTCCCGAACTGAGGAAGAAAATTAAGACCACGATTACCAACAAATTTAAGTGCCCCAAAAGCATTAAAACGTACAAGAACCACAAAGAAGTTGGTGTAAGGAATGCTCGAGGGTGAATCCCAAGTTTGTTTGTTCAGTATGAGAAGATTCTGAGTAGTTAAAAGCAAACGTTTTTAAGTTTTTTGTTTTTGTAATTACAAAAAAATCATCTTAAGAAAAAATGAAATTTAATGTTTTTTTGCAAATCATGAAATAAATTGAAAATTTAACATTTTTGAAAAAAGAGTGGTACCAACATATGATATTCCACACACACAAAAGTAAACATTTTATCCAACTCTTTTTCAGCAAATAAATTTCATTTTAAATAAAAAAAATTATAAAAAGATACAAAATTCATAGTGACCTTCCTGTGGGGGTCACCGGGTCACCACCCATGACAGAAAGTTCTCCCTTTTAAAATTAAGAATACAAACAGAAACATTTTATAAAAACAAACATCAATACCAACATATCCTAATATTTGATTGATGTAAGTGGAAGGTGACAAACTTTAATTTAATCCGTGACTAGAAAAAAATCTGATTAAATCGATGAATATTTCAAAGAAAATCTATCATCATCAGTAAAACCGAGGAATAAAAAACCACTCTTCTTGAACTTTTTAACGATATGTAATGCTGCCAATGATTAATATAAAGAGACATCTCTAATTCCAAGAATGCGAAAACAAAGAACCAAAATGGAAGACATGATGCGATCTGAAGGAGGAAAGAAAGAAGGGATTGAGCAACCTGTAAAAGAAGCAGCGGAGAGGGTCAACAGAAAGAAAGGGGTCATCCTTTCCATCTGCCATGAGGTTAATGTAGTCAACGTAATCTTCATGAGAAGAGAGAGGCAGGAGACGTGTGAAAGTGGAGTGATCAAGAGGAAGAGGAGCGTTCTTGAAGAAGGGTTGAAGATAGCGCACGGTGCCATTGTGAAGAAGGATCGAACGGAGAGTCTCCAACTGGTGATGGTGGGCGTTGATGGTTAAGTCTTCAAGTTTCTGTATCAGTTCGTCGTCTGTCATCATCTTTTGCTTTGGTTTCTGCTATGGTGTTTGTTGGGATTACAACACTTCAAGAATCAACCTTTGTGGGGGCTCTTGAGCCGTTTCTTTGGTTCGGTTGGGTTATGGCTTTGTCGAGTTTTGACTTTGGGGTGACACGGTTTTAAAAGGTTTTATTTATTGTTGTGAGCTTCTGCGCTGTCTGCTCCTGATTTGGACGACGCCAACGATGATAGAGACAGACTCAAAGCGTTGCGGTCAAGCTGACGCATAATTCTCTTGCCACCTCATCGGCCCAATCATATCATCGGGTAAGAGTTTTTTAAAAATAAATAAATAAAAGTAATATATTTTTGGTTTTAATGTTTCGCTAGATTTTTTTTTTCATAATCTTAAATTTGGTCCACTACTTTATGTGGCATGGTAAGTTTTTTTTTTTTTTTCAGAATCTGAAATTGGTTTCATATTTATTCGTTTTCTTAATTGATTTTTTATTTTTGAAAAATTAAAACAAACGGTCGTTTAAAAGACAATTACGTGACATGACAAATATGATAATTAAATTATTGTCACGTATAATTTCTAATTTTTGAATTAAAAAATTATTATAGTTGTGATTGAACACAACCCTTTTCTCAATATTTTGCTTAATCAATGGTAATTCACATTTTGTTTAATCAAATTTGAGAAAACTGTGAGGGTTTTTTTTTGGAGGTTTTTGGTTTTGTGTTTGATTGGCAGCCATGGATTTTGGGTTCGTGATGAAGGCAATGGAGATGAAGGATGCATGAAGATGCTTCAAAAATTGGGAGTTTTTGCTATTAGGGATTCTTTCTGCTTCGAAGGCGCACTGGTTTTCGCAATTGCTCGAGGAAGGAGAAGACGCGAAGGTTTCACTTGGTTCGCGCATGGAGGTCACGATTAAAAAGTTGTTTGCGATCTTGGTTCTTTGTTTTCGCGAGTCCCTGTGTTCATTCTCTGGGTTTTTGATTTTGATGCAGGTTGCTGGATTTGAACCGTAAGGAGGCGCAGATTAGGGTTAATGACGACGGCAGCCTGAGGATTTAGTGGTGGCGCGTTGAAGTGATTTGGGTTTTGTGTGTTTTCTTATTTTGGGTTTGCAGGTCCGGTGATGGTAAGAATGATGGAGGTGAGTCGCGATGAAGGTTAGGCGAAGATGATGATGGTGATTTGGTTTCGTGACATTTTTTGTGCGAGTTGCATTTCTATGTTGTGGTTGTATGTGGTGCCTAATGGCGACATGATAGCCTAAGGCCTTGTTCACTTGAATGGATTTGTGGGAGAGTAATTGAGGGGATTTGTGGGAGAGTAATTGAGGGGATTTGAGAGGATTTGAAGATAAAGTTTTTTATTGTTTATTTGATTGAATTTGGAGGTAAATGAGAGTGGATTTGTAAGTAAATTTTTTTAATCTGTCACGTCAATAAAATCCTACACTAATTCTCACAAATTTTACTTCCAAATACACTCTAATTTACCTCCAAATTCACTCAAATAAACAAGAAAAAAATTTATCTTCAAATCCCTTCAATTACTCTCTCCCAAATCCCTTCAAGCGAACAAGGCCTAAGAGAAGAGATTTTGTGGCAGCGACACATGGTGTTGAGAAGGTTGATAGTTGAGACGTAGATGATTGGTGAGTCAATGACGACGGCTAGGGTTAAAATGGCGGCACAAGGAAGGAAAAAGGATTTAGGATTCTGGAGGTGGAAGACAAATTTGATTAAGAAATTCCTCCAATTTTTTAATTCAAAAATTAGGAATTACAGGTCACAATAATCTAATTACCATATATATCATACCACGTCATTTAAAATACTATTGTTAGCATGCTACGAAATGGTCTCTTAAACGACATTTGTCAAATGCCTCTATTTGTTTTAATTTTTAAAAAATAAGAACCCAATTGAAAAAATGAATAAGTAGGAGACCTGTATGAGATTTTGACCATTTAAGTTCATTTAATACACTATTAAATGATCTTAAAATGTTATAGAAACTTGACACATATAATTTATTGAATAAAACTTCAATTAATAATGGTTAGATCAATAAAATT